AATGGACACTTCACAGTTTAGAAGTAATTTATGTCTATAATTTCGAGAGTGCAATTCCAAGTTTATAGTGGAGTAACTATTGGAATTAATAGAATTAATTAATTAATTAAAGTGTTTAATTGATTATTAATTTTATTGGAGCTCGGGATTATAGGTCCATTAGTCCCCGCGTCGTCCTAGTAATTCTACCAGACACAGAGGGTAAAATGGGAAATTTTAGAATTAAGGAATTCTATAAATTAAATACTCGAAAATAATTAATTGAGAATTGATTATTATTTAAATAATGTGATTATTTAAATTTGAATTTGAACACATCTAAAATTATCCATTTAAACTTATTTGATAAGTTGTTCAATTTAGAATTCAAATTAATTTAAGTTTGACTTAAATTGGAATTTGAATTTGAGTCAAAATTAGACTACAGGATAAATGATAATTTCCTCTTCCTGCCCTATCTGATATTGACGCCACACAGGGATGAGAATCCCCTTAGAATGGCCGGCCATATAGGATAGAGAAAAAGAAGAGATTTTGTTTAAAATTCAAATAGGAGATAATTAACAAGCTTTATCTTAGAGATATAGATTGGATTCATTCTAGAAGTGAACGGGCCCTAAGTGTAGAACTATGAGGGCGTTTGGTCGGAGGATTTAAATTATGTGATTTAAATTATTTTTGATTTACGTGAATTTTTTATGAGAAAAAATACTATAACGAATCATGAATCATAATTCGAATTAAAAAATGAATCTCTCTACTAAACATCCTCTATATGTACTTCTTGCTAAATTCACCGTCTAGTGTTTCAGCCTCACCATACACACCATAGCCACTTAGCCACACAATAAAAAATAATAAATAAATAAATAATCTCATTGTAAATATTGTTATTATTAGGTATTCTTTGCTGGGGAATTGGTGAAGCAAGTAAAATGTCCTTTGTTTTTTATTTGGTGATCTAATTATGAGAGATGAAGATCTACCACCCTCGTTATAAATGCTCTGATTACGGCCGGCAATATGGGTCACAATACGATTCGAAAATGACACGAATTTTACGGGTCAATTTTGGATTGGACCCGCCTAATCTGAACACGACACGAAACTCGTAAAAAATTAAAAATACATATATTTTTCATTTCATATTTTAAATTTTATTATAAACTTGTGATATCATGATAGTTATACTCAAAATCTTATACTATAATTTGCTTAATTTCAATGGATGTTATTATAATTTAATGGGTTATGAATTTTAAGTTATTTCGAATATGTAAAAAAGTAAATAAAAGTATACAATTTTCGTGTCAATTTCATATTCACGGGTCAATTTTGTGTCACGGGTCATTTTCAGGTTGTGTCGTGTCAACTCGTAAAGTAGTCGTGTCGTGTTCGTGTTGCGGTTTTTAAAAAATTTCGTGTCACGGGTCGTGTTAGGTATTTTTATTAGTTGACAATTTATTGGCAATCTTGTAAAAATTCAAAAAATAGGTTCAAGAAGATTTCAGATTGCGGAAAAAGAATTCAAATCAGATTTGAAGTTAAAGTTACAGATTTTGTTGAGTTGAGATTTGAAGAGATAAGGATAAAGGCTTGGTCAAAGGAAGATAAGACATTGGTTGAAATTTGGAGAGATAAAGATAAGACATTGGTTATTTGAATTTAAATGGGAGATAAAGCTTGCATGAAGATCAAGTTATTTTCGAATCTGAATTCTTGGCTTCATCTGATTATTGTTAGGAGAGTTGAATGACTTATATATATATATATATATATATGTATGTATTCACGTGAGCTACACAATTAAGCTTGAGCTGCACATGAGAATTGGAACTTGAAATTTGACTTGGTCAAAGAAAAGTCAAAGATAACTTGCTATAATGAAAGATAAGGCATTGACGTGGAGATGGCTAAGAGAATATTAGATGTTGCAGATAAAGCTGAGGAGGATTTTTTGGTATCTGAATATATGTTCAAAAGTTGAAAAAGGAGATACGTGGAATGGGTTTATATGGGAAGTGGCTCTGCTGTAAAAGGGGGGTCGACTACAGGAAAAAGTCTTGTGATAGAGAATTAGTGCTTAAGTAGAACAATTTATAGTTTATGTTTTTTCTCATTGAAAGTATGAACAACTGAAGGGAGTTCAACAGTTAAAGGTGAAGACATGTGGTACACGCTAAACAGTGTCATTGTGAGAGTTCATCACATCGGTGTCATAATCTAGGAAGGAGTCCTTGAGTGAATAAGTCCGTCAAAGTTGTAATTCTTAAATCATAGTGAAACTGTTTACTGTCTGGACATGGCCCTGCAGAGTAGGTGTGCGCACCGAACTGCGATATCATATTATGTGTTCCTTTACTTTCTGCACTTTATTTTACTCGAGCAACTGAACGTAATTAACTCAGATATATCAAGTGGTATTAGAGCGGTCCACTGACCATAAGTTCGGTGAGATCTTGTTGAATTGATCTGTTATGTTTGGAATGGATTTTTTGAAGGAAGGAGGTTCAATTGTACGTCCCATTCTGCTTGATGGTTCAAATTATTCATATTTGAAGGCCCGGATGAAGGCTTTCATCAAGGCTCAAGATGAGAAAGCCTGGCGTGCTGTTTTGAATGGCTGGAAACATCCAGTAACTAAATATGCAGAAGGAAAAGAGACTCTCAAACTCGAAGAGTCATGGAGCACTGATGAAGACAGGTTGTCCAACTACAACTCACGTGTACTCAATGCAATATTTAATGGAGTTGATGTTAATCAGTTCAAGATGATATCCACATGTGAATCGGCAAAAGAAGCATGGGAGATTCTGGAGGTGGCTCATGAAGGAACAACCGCGGTGAGACAATCAAAATTGAATATGCTCACAACCAGGTTCGAAACTCTTTAAATGCATGAAACTGAAACTATTTCTGAATTTAATTCACGGTTGTGTGATATAGCTAATGAATCTTTTGCTCTTGGTGAAAAAATTCCTGAGGCAAAACTTATCAGCAAGACGTTGAGATCATTACCACAGAGATTTGCCTACAAAGTCACTGCCATTGAAGAGGCGAACAACACTGAAACTATGAGACTAGATGAATTGATGGGATCACTGAGGACATTTGAAATGAATGTGAGTCAAAATAAGAAGGAGGCAGAGATTTCTCAGGGGATTGCTTTCCAAGCCGAAGTGGAAGATAATGTTGAAGAAGAAGATGAAGACTTAACGAAGTCTCTCACTCGATTGACTAAAAATTTCAACAAGGTGATGAAGAAGTTCAACGAGAAGAACCAAACTCCAACGTTCAACAACTCCAACAATTTTCAGAAAAATAAGGGAGCTACAAATTCCTCCAATGATAAGAATAAGAATAGGAGAATTCAATGCCGGGAGTGCAACGGTTATGGTCACATTCAGTCTGAGTGTGCTAACACTCTTAAAAAGAGGAAAAAGTCTCTCAACGTTACATGAAGTGATGAGGATTCTGAAGGCAACCAGGAAGATGATGATCATGTGAACAACTATGTTGCGTTTAATGTCTACCAAGATGTTCCAAACTGCAGTGTTACAGATCGTGTCACAGCTCATGTTGCAACATCATCTGCAACACACTCTGGAAAACCAGATGAAAACGGAGATTTTTCAGATTCTGACGGTTCCAGCAATGGTGAAGAACTAACTAAGGAGACAATCCAAGAGGCATATGAAACCATGTTCAAAAAATGGGGTTTGGTGGTTAAAATGAATAAGTTTTTGCGGGAGCGAGTCGATGAGCTTATTAAAGAGAATGATGTACTTAAGAGGGTTGCTATAAACTATGAATTTCGGGCTGTTGAAAAGGAGAAAAAGCTAGAGGAGACAAGAGGTGAATTAGAGCACACTCAAAAGTCATTGAAGATGATGAATTCGGGCACCTCAAAATTGGATCACATTCTCTCAATAGGAAAAGCAAGTGGTGATCGACATGGCCTTGGCTATATTGGTGAGAGCTCAACGTCCAAAAGAGTGTTTGTGAAGAAGACACCTGCCCCTAAGCCTCCGACTTCCTTCAGTACGAAGGTTACTATCTCATCCCCTTGACATAGAAGGTTTGTCCCTAGATACCATTACTGCGGTATACATGGCCACATAAGACCAAGATGCTACAAGTATTTAAATGCCTTTAAGAGAGGTATGCTCATTAATCCATCAAATTCCGCAAACTCAAAAAGGACACCTAACGTGAAGATTAATGCAAAAAAAAAATTTGTCTAGATGTGTGTGGGTAAGGAAATCTGATTTGAGGTGTCATAAGGCTTATACTTCTTTAGAAGCATGTACTAATGATTATGGATGTAGTGATGGTGGTTGCACTAAGACAGGTGTTAAGAGCATTGTACATGGAATAATGCTACATTTAGGGGGAGTAAGACACAGAAAAGATTCAGGGGGAGTAAGCTACATAGATCAATGCCCTTGAAGATATCTAGTGCGAAATGTTGCACCGAGTGTTCCAACTAATGTTACAACATGATCTGCGACATCAGCTGCTGAAGACGTGTCTAGGGTGTGATTTTTTTATTTTTTTATTTTTTGTCTTTTGGCTTATTTTTGTCAAAAAGGGGGAGAACAATGTAATTCTTTACGTTTTTTTTTTGAATTTTTAGGACCATTTGTTAGTTTTACCAAAAAATGCCAAAGTGGGAGACTGTTAGGTATTTTTATTAGTTGGTAATTTATTGGCAATCTTGTAAAAATTCAAAAAATAGGTTCAAGAAGATTTCAGATTGCGGAAAAAGAATTCGAATCAGATTTGAAGTTAAAGTTGCAGATTTTGTTGAGTTGAGATTTGAAGAGATAAGGATAAATGTTTGGTCAAAGGAAGATAAGACATTGGTTGAAATTTGGAGAGATAAAGATAAGACATTGGTTATTTGAATTTAAATGGGAGATAAAACTTGCATGAAGATCAAGTTACTTTCAAATCTGAATTCTTGGCTTCATCCGATTATTGTTAGGAGAGTTGAATGACTTATATATAAATATACATATATATATATATATATATATATGTGTGTGTGTGTGTGTGTGTGTTCACGTGAGCTACACAATTAAGCTTGAGCTGCACATGAGAATTGGAACTTGAAATTTGACTTGGTCAAAGAAAAGTCAAAGATAACTTGCTATAATGAAAGATAAGGCATTGACGTGGAGATGGCTAAGAGAATATTAGATGTTGCAGATAAAGCTGAGGAGGATTTTTTGGTATCTGAATATAGGTTCAAAAGTTGAAAAAGGAGATACGTGGAATGAGTTTATATGGGAAGTGGCTCTGCTGGAAAAGGGGGGTCGACTACAGGAAAAAGTCTTGTGATAGAGAATCGGTGCTTAAGTAGAACAATTTGTAGTTTATGTTTTTTCTCATTGAAAGTATGAACAACTGAAAGGAGTTCAACAGTTAAAGGTGAAGACGTGTGGTACACGCTAAACAGTGTCATTGTGAGAGTTCATCACAGCGGCGTCATAGTCTAGAAGGGAGTCCTTAAGTGAATAAGTCCGTCAAGATTGTAATTCTTAAATCATAGTGAAACTGTTTACTGTCTGGGCGTGGCCCCGCAGAGTAGGTGTGCACACCGAACTGCGATATCATATTGTGTGTTCCTTTACTTTCTGCACTTTATTTTACTCGAGCAACTGAACGTAATTAACTCAGATCTATCAGGTCGTGTTCGGGTTGACTGCAAATTTAAAAAGAAACGATCAAAATACGACACGAACACGACACATGACACGAATTGCCACCCCTGTGTGCTAGTAGTAAAAGAGCAATAAAGCATTGTTGAAATTTTCAAAATAATAATAATAATAATAATAATAGTAGTAGTAATAATAGTAATAATAACAACATTGTTGTTGATCACTGATTAAGTGAGACCTACATTCTATTAGTGTTGTGACATATTAGTCACAATAAATATCAATTTTATCCCCTTTTGGTAAATGTTGATGCAGACTAATTATGCTGGCCACAATGACCTCAGCCAGATCAACCGTCTTGGACCTTTTATTGTCATGAAAGCAACTGCATTTTTGTCATCCTTGAGAACATTAACAGCTCTTGTAAACTCCAAGTCGTCCAATTCCTCTAACTTTTGCAACTCCTCAAGGCACTTTTGGTACATTGTTTTCTCATTTGATGCCTTCCTTTGCATAGCCTTTAAGTTGGCTGCACAAAACATTTCATACAAGGCTCTCTCTATTGTCTCCCTCACTTTATAGCACGGTCTTCTTCTCCTTGCAGACATTGTAGGAGCCTCTGATTTGCGCTTCTTACGATGTGTATCATCATCATTGTCGTCGATTCGGATCATAGAATCCGAATCAGGAGTGTCATCAACTACCTGTGCTGGAAGGTTAGTTGGCTCTGAAGACCTCACCGTTTCAGTGTTACTATTTCCCTCTTCCGCTGTCACATGTAGTCCACTTGGAAATTGGTGTTTCCCAATAGCCCTTTCTCCTACATTAGATTTTTTTTCACTGAAACAAAACTTGAACATGCGAAATATTTTTGAAATTTGAAAAAACAAAAAAAAAAAAAAAAATTGATTATTCAAATTACCTTCAAAGATAATGGACATTTGGTTGTAAAGAGGAAAGCTCTTGCGCCTAAAAGGCCTTGCTTCACTTTTTACCTGCAATTATACGAAATTCTTTTATTTGTGTCCAAGAAAAAGTATGACTCTTTTCTTTGCAGTTATGATCATCTATAACTAATGTTCTGCTTGAGTTTTTGAACTTACTGCAATATAGTTGTCCCAAACTTTATCATCAGCCACAACCATTTGTCGGATTTCGTCCCAGCCAAATTCTGCATGACTAAGAAGAGTTTTCACAACGCCATAATCTTTTTTCATGACATTGTAGCGGTTTTTTATCTGGTTCTCTTCCAAGTTCATGCCAAACTTCTGATTAAAATCGCGAGTGACCGATTTGATCACTTCGTTCTTGAACTCATTATAAGCTGTTCTTCCACGATTGTGCTGCTCAATGAGAAGCTCAACCAGATTAGCGTCACGAGATGGGGTCCACTCTGCCTTTGGACGGCCAAGGACTCCTTCCTGTGCAGCTGACATCTTTCCCTCTGGCTCAGGCTCACTAATAGGAATTAGGACCACTTTAATTAAAGATGATGAAGAAAAAAATATCAATTAAAGAAGACGAAAAATGTCAATTCAATTACATAATCACAAAGAATGATTGATCATGCAAAATTAAGACAAATGTCAGTCAAATAGAACGATTGGCTTCCACTGTCTGGTATTCTGGTTTGTTGCTTGCCCTGCTTTTTCTTGAGAGGAATAAACGACACCAATAGAAAGCGACATGAACATAGACGACAATTATGCAAAAACGACAGCAAATAAAGGACCTTTTTTTTTAGCGGCAAATCAAAACGCCGGTACAATTGAAAGTGGGTCCGCTTGTAAATTGAAATTATCGAGCTTCAACGTTCTTCTTTGTACGTGCGTGAGAGTTGTATTTATTTATTTTTTTAATTGATACCACATGTAGGGTTTGACTCGCGAGTTCTGAGGAAAAATTTTCAGGCCATGACGTTAGATCACCAAAGGATTTGGGTAAAGGAAAATAAGATTACTAATAATGGAAATTGCTGTGGAACTAACAAGACGTTAACGATTGGCTGGTTGTCGTTTTATTTGCAAAATTAGTAAACAACATCATATAGGAATGAAACAGAATAAAAAACGACAATACAGTGAGAACAACTCGAGTATCATAAGACGATAACAATACCCGTGAATGTCAGAAACCCCATCATAAAGTAAGCAACAAGAAAACGACACCAATCAGGAAACGACAATAAAGTAAAAAAGAACACCAATCAGAAAAGGCAATAAGATTGATAAACGAGGATACTATATGGGCCCGTTTAGTTCGTTGATTCGAGTTAAAATGTGACTTTATGTGAGAGCTTTTTATTGTAGTAAAAATATTAGATGTGACTGTTTTGAGAGCTTTTTACTGTAACAAAATTCGAATCGGTGAAATAAATAGAACCTATATGAATGACATCGAAAACCATAACGTCATATATTAAGGCTTCGTTCATTTCACCGATTTGAGTTTAGAATTCGAGTTTTGTTACAGTAAAAAGCTCTCAGAAACAGTCACATCTAACTTTTTTGCTATAGTAAAAAGCTCACATAAAGTCACATCTCAACTCGAATCAACGAACTAAATAGGTCCTAAGTAAAAAGGACACTAATTAAGAGGACTCCACTCGTAAAACGCCAATAGTACAAAAATGACAAAAATATCTACTAAACGACACATGAGACATTTTACGACAAAAATGTGGAAAACGACATCCAATACCAAACGCAAAACGACATCCAACATAAAAAACAATATCATGCGGAGAACAACATCAATATCGTAAAAACAACGAAGAATATACTCTTTTCACTCTTTTTCCTCAGACCTTTAAAAACAAGTGTTCTATTCAAATAAATCTCTCCGGGTGAATGTCCAGATATTAGACTTCAAATAATCCGAAGCTTGTTGTCACACCAAAGTGCAAAACCAATATATATATAGATATATATATATATATATATATGTCCAGTGAAATGATGAATGACTTCAGTACTACTGAATAGAACGCAAAGCAAACAACATGCAATATTGCAAGAAAAAGGAAGACTGCCAAAAGGAAATTCAAACCGGAAAAGAAAATGCAAATGGTACGGAAATTAGACAGATGAAAATCTCAAAGAAAAATAAATAATCAGATTATTATACCTATATATGATCACAATATGAAGTTTAAAGATAAAAGAATTTTGGCATAAAACGTACTACAACCTTAGGAAACTATCAACAAATATACCAACTTTTTCTTGTCTCTCTCGTGACTCTAGTTCTCCATTAATGAAATTAGTCTAGTCTAGTCTAGTCCAATAAAATTTCCATGTTTTCTAAGCAACCAAGTAATAAAAAAAGCACCTTAAAAAAAAAGTAATGAAAAAACTAAAAAGCTCATAATAATCTGTACCTTTTCAGCAAATGGTGATTTCCTTTTGCGTTAGGGTGGTCACCTAGTCGGAGCTCCCCATAAGGGTGGACGGTCGGTAGATACTAACGTGCGCAGGGTGGGTTGAGTCTATTAATGGAGATCAGGGCAATGGTAGAGAGGTTGCGCGGCCACGCCATTATAAATGGAGACGGCTTGTGGATGTGCCATCTGCTGCCACGTCATCATAACTGTTTGATCTTGGCCGTTCAATGCATAAGTATGAATTTTCGCTTCCTTGGTAACCAACTGTCATACATGGTTTGTAGTGTGTATACCTTGTATTATTGGGAAGCTTAAGAACATAATAATAAACAAGTAAATTACAAAATTTGTAAATGAACATAATGTATTTAAGACTTTTAGTTAAATAATTATACGTATTTCTTTTCTTTAACTAGCTAATTGAGGCATAAGTTTTTTACTTTTTGTATGAGTACATATATGTACCATGGAATTTTCCTCATCTATTTTGGCATGTAATTTGATTAAACCAATGCTACTCTTTTTACTCTGTCTCACTTATTTTAATTGCGCAATTATAAGATCTCACTGAAAAAAAATAAAATAAAAGAGAAAGAAAGATTGGGAAAAATGACATTGATAAACAGTTAAAATTATTTTTACTCTCTTTCATCCTTATACTTTCCGTAATTTTGTGCCAATTAATACCAGAATTATGTCTTTACATGAGTTGGAATATAAAGATCTAAATGCTGTAAACCATGTCCGACTTAATAAAGGTCATCTACCAAACTTATGTGTGTCAAAAACCGCAAGCAAAATCATAGCAGATATATGATTGCATACCATATCCAATTCCCATAAAAATCCTGATTAGCTGATAGCAGTTGCGAGAATAAATGTTTAATTTAAGGTAAACACATCTGAAATTTTTTAATAATTAACTAAGAATATGTAAATTTAAATAAAAAGAGTTTGAGAGATTTGTCAATTCGCTATAAATTCTAACTAGGATTCCCCTGCCACTCTAACAAGAAGCAAAGTCGTTATCAAAGGCAGTAAAAGGGAAATTAATTCGCCTCAAAACTGAAGAATTAGGTGAGACATGCCAGGACATTTCTTTTTCACTCTTTTTTCTGATTAGCCATTGTCCAATTTGCAGCTTTAATGTGTTACATAAAGGGCACTAAAGTGGAACACATTTTCATTAAAGATTGGGCTCTTTGGTCCTAAATTTGGCTCTCCACTAGGGGGCCATAAAGTTATGTTAATATTTTGGTGTTTGCTGATGTATCATTTCATATCCAATTATATTACATCCTTCCAAAAAATTTTGAAAAAATAATAATAAACAAATAATGTTGCATCTTTAGAATTAGGCAGCAAACACACTTTGTCAATGGAGTTGACTACAATCAAATTGATGCCCAACAGAAAGATCAAGGACCCACTTCTTGTAATTGCATTTTTAGGGTCAATAGGTTTCCATTCTCCTCCAGATTCTTGAGTAGCATAAAAAGTAAGTTTGTTCCTATGATCACAACCACAACAACAGCAACACCAACACAACAAACAGCTAAGATTTTTCCACAATCAGAAAGAAAAAGAATGGAAAAAAGTTTGACTGGCTGTTATGGTTGGAGTTTTAATCATTGCTGATGATAAACGGCCAAATTTAAAAGGCTTTGAGGAAATCTTTTCACTAAATTTATCTTGTAATGCATACAGTGTTAAGAATATTAAGATGCAGAAAAGTTATCCGTGTCTTTTTACATTAAGGATGTTCCTAGAGTGAATTCACACGATCATTGAGAGTGGATTTGAGCAAAGAGAATTTGATGAGTAGTGTATGATGACTTTCTGATACATATAAAGATATACAAAGAGGTTTAAGTTTACATATATATATATATATGTATGTATGTATATATAGTCATTGCCTTCATCCAAGCCATTTCAATAACAGTACAGTAGCCCAATAAATCATTAACCATCATAGGTTGACTTAGCATGAATGATGCCATTTTACACCTGAAATGGGTCTGGCGTGCTAAATCTTTACCACGCTAGATCAAACGGTTTTTTTATTTTTTATTTTTTTCCCGGTTCCATCAATATTTTGGAGGCATATTTCTTTTCCTTTATATTAGTTGGCATTATTAACAAAATTTCAATGATATAGCCCTCTATAATTTGGTCCCCCACTTTGTAGACCTCATTCAAATAAGTTGAAAGACAAAACTTTGTAGCAACTAACATGCTTTGTCTATATTTGTCATACTTGTACCACTCTTATTAGAACAAGGTCATTTTCTCCTCTTTTCTCTCTCTCTATCACACCTTAAAGACTTCAAATATAGTCCCAAGACAATGTCCAAACCTATAACATGCTTTGTCTATGTTTGTCTTACATATTCTACCATTTTTCCAAAATCCAACCTCAAATTTTTCCTACTTTTTTGGTGATGTTATATGTTTGAATCCCAAATTACTTACTACCCATTATATGATTATTTTTTTCAAAAAAAAAAAAACATATTTTGAACATAAATTATAAAGAGAAGTTTTCAGTAGGGTATGATTGTGCCTTGAGGTTGTTTTAGAAGATGCAGAGTTGCTGAATGGGCTAATTATTCAGGAAAACATTCCAATTCTCTTGTTCATCTGAATTTCTGCAGAATTTTTGTGCATTAGAATATACAGTAAAGGGGAACAAATAAACAGAGAGTGTTTCTGGTCATAGTAGAATAGAAAGGAAAATGAGGACCAAAGACAGAGTAGAAAATTGGTGGGGCTTGCCCCTACAGAACCCCATGAATATGTTGCACTGCACCAAAACAAATCCTTCTAACGCCTGAAATGCTCATGCCTTTACTAATCATATCTGTACTTCATTAATGTGTTGTTATTTCTTATTTAATTTGAATAAAAAAAACAAAAAACAAACACATTATGTTCTATCATCATTAGATCGATGGAAGGTAATCAATAATCTCTCCAGGTGACCATCTCCAAATTCAAAAAAGAATTACGCCCGATGCAGAGAAAAGTACATAATATAGAATTTAATATTAGATAAAATCAGGGAAAAAGAGAGAAAAAAAAAAATTTTAATCCAACTTTTGTTTTAGTATTTAGATTTTAGATACCCTAGATGTTTTTGGCATTTTGTATATTATGATATTTTACTCCTTTTGTCACATTTTGTATTACTTTTCTATTCTGTCATAAAATCCCATTTTTCATCTTTAGTTATTTATTTTTGTCCTTTTTAATTTTTTCACTTCTTTAGTATTTCTCTGTAGTTTTAGTTTCTTTTAAGCAAGCTATCTATTTGAGTTCACACGCTTGCATTAATTCGAAGATTTAATGATGGTCAGAGAAATAAATATCTGAATTTCACGTAAAAAGATCTATGATTCAATCCAAGGGGACTGCAATTCACTTCCATATTAAATATATAAATGGGAAAAAGAGAAAGATTACCGCTTACCTAAGAAAAGAAGACAGAAGGAAATAAAGGAAGAAAATGAGAACTTATACCCTTGTTAGTGTAAAGAAGTAAAAGAATCTGAATAATTGATTGAGGTAAAGAAGAAGGAAGCAATTACTACTCAAAACAAAATAAAACAAGTAGAAGGGTATTATAGAAGGAAAGGAAAAAAAAAAAAAAAAAAAAAAAAAAAAAAAAAAAAAAAAAAAAAAAAGAGAGAAAAAATTATTAAAATAAGATGCCATTTTCCAAGGGCACATGATCTTACAACTCTTCAATGGCTTTCTTATGTTTGTCCATATAATTTGTCTCTATGTGTGTACAAATAGAATATGAATAGGTACGTATATGTCATATACACAACAAAAATATATAATAATATAAATATGTATTGTTGTAAAATAAGGTGTTTTTGTCTTTTTATGTATTTATTTTTTAAATAATTTCAATTGGGGTTTGGGAATAGGGATAGAAGGGAAGAGTGGTGGATTCTCCAAGTCCCCAAAGAGTTTAGGCCATGTGATAAAAGCAGCTTTCTTTCTCTTGTAAAGCGACCACGCCCGTTTGGCTGCAATCATGCGGTCTACTCTGTTATAATTCTC